AAGGGTTTGCTTGGAAAAAATCTCAATATGTTACATTATGCTTGAACATGGAACTATTGTCATTGTCGCTTTGTTTCCTATTTCAGTGAGTTAAGTGTTAATTTTAGCAAGTGGTAAATTATCATGGCTGCTTGTATCTTTCAATAATTTTAATTTTTTGGGGTCACAAATGAATGCTAATCTCTTCATTTGTTCTCTTATCATGTGACACCAAATTTGAGTTCACTTTGAACTCATTCCCTGCATTTTTTGAGTTGGATCCATCCCCTGGTCATTGTTCTTAGATGGAAGTTGATATGTGGTGCAAGGGAAGCAAGATACAGTTCTCGAAAAGCTGAAAACGGGATGATATACAACGCTTATACATAAATATACAGGCTGACAGAAGCATGATACGTGCCGAAAATTAAATTACAGGTTAAAAAAGCTGCATAAATACAAAGCTTAAATCTATAAGCAGGTCTGGGAATCCAAAAAAGTCTGTATACATGGTGTATACATTGAATATACATTTGGTGTATATGCTCCCATTTGGGAATGAGAACGGGCCAAAAGCCCAAACCAGTGAATTTGGCCAAGAAACCCAAATTCAAATCATGCTCTCTTTCTTTATGTTAATTTATTTTAATAAAAAAATAACTTTTTGTCAAACTCTTGTATTTTTTTAATCAAAATTTTTATTTATTCTTCAATTAATTTAAAATAGTTTTCATGTTTTAATTGACCAAATTGATTTAAATTATTAATTCTAAAATGATTAAAATAAATTTTAATCCATATAGTTTGTTAAAATTCAAAACAACTTGTAATCTAATTCAATCTTTCCAACTAAGGTCTCTTGTTCTAAAAAAAAAAATAACATTAAGTAGCGATTCTTTCTAAGAAATTTTTCTCAAACTATTTCATACTTAGAGAACATCTTCAAAAGTAAAATAGTATAATTACGAACAAGTGCATTTAACTATTACATGAATTAATATCAATCAGTAGTTTATCAATTGTGGAAGTTTTCTAAGTATGTGATACATAATTCTATGTCAAATTAATTTTTGATCTCATATAGTTACGTTATTCTAAAATTTATCCCGTTAATTGATTATGTGTTTTCTTAAACTACAATTATGCAATTATTAATTTGTCTTCTTTTTTTTAACTCTTACATTATCAACTCTATCCCTTTTTTTTTATCTCTTTAGAGTTGTAAAATTTTCATTTTTTTATTTAAGTCACAATTTTTTAAGATAAAATTAATATTATTTTGAAGATAAAATAAGTTAAATAAAACTATATGAATACTTATGTTTAAAAAAATATATCGATAATTAAAAAGAAAATTACATAGAGAAAAGACCGTATGATTATATTGAATATATTGTAGTAGTAATAAAAATAACTATTTGAATTGTCAAGAGTATAGAGGCATAAATATTTTTCACATTATTATTACAATCAAACAAATACAAATTGACTTTTAAAAATAAAGTATTATGAATTTATGGGGCCACGAATGAAACAGAACTTTTTGTAATCTTGAAAAAAAAATCTAAAAAATTATTTTGACTGTTAATTATACACAATCATAAATTTATAACTTTTCCCATAATTAATGTGAAAATTACAAAATTGTTATTTATCACTCTAATCATCAAAATAATTGAAAATATAAAGTAGAACTTGCTAAATGTCTTTTAGGCCAAGGAGATATATGTGGAGCCATACACAAATTTTACTATTCATATAAGTGGTCTAATTTAGGCTCTACAATATAGCATCACAATGTATATAGTTATCAAAGAGCCTATTTCGAAAAAAAACAAAGAGCCTATTTCGAAAAAAAAAACAAAGAACCTATTTAATTGAGCTTTTGAATTTTGAGGCATGAATAAATAATCATAAGTTAGAGTTTATTTATATCTGAAAATTCACTTTATATGTATAAATGTTTTATTAAGAACGGTAAGAATAATGCGTGTATTATTTTTTCTAATTTTTAAGCTATATTTATAAGCATCCAAAATCATCAACTCGAAATTTTGAGGATTAATTAATTAATTATATATATATATATATCCCGTTCAAAGTCATCAATTTCACTTATGCTTTTTTTGTAAGCGTGTGAAATTTATATACCTCGCTCAAGGATTAGACTCTGTGTCCCAATTTCGTAAATAGAAATTGTATAAAATATTTATGCAAAGTTAATACAACTATAATAGCATATATGCTTACTCAAAAACAGTTTCATGAAATCTCAATATGCAATTATAATACATATTTAATAGCTCAAGTTGCATTTAAATTTCTTTTTTGATGTGGGGCGGAAGAAGGACACAAATTAAGGAGACGTTGTAAAATTGGTAAAACTAAATAATTCATGCATTAAGCGTCCCCTAATTTTAAGCCTCAAAAAGTTAATAAAAATTGAATTGGGAAAAATAACTATTACTAACTACTAAGCATACAATAAGGGAAAATTAATTGTTTTGAACTTATAAAATAATAAATAATTGAGATAACTATTTTTGGAAAATACAAAAAATAATTTGAGTCAGGGAAAATAATACGTGAACACATGACAGTTTCTTTTTAAAAAATTTAATTTAAGTTGATTTTATTGAGAATTTATAGACACACAGCAACCTTATCTAGATTAAGAAGCTGGATGAAGGAACTTTGAAGTCATTAATATTTAAATCAAGGTAGGCTATTTAAAAATCTTTAAATATTTATAAAAGCTACAATTGGGAAAAAAATTATTGACCCTAAAGTTGCTTAGGTTTTTCAAAACGTAAAATATCCCTATAATCAAATAAGGGATAAAAGTGATCCAAGAAAAAAAAATATCATAAATCAACTAGACCCAAATGACAAAATGAACGCTAAAAATTTAAATTTTCTTATTATCTAGATGAGAACTTTAAAATATTGTTATCCTTCTGCGAATATAGAGAAGTAAAATATAACGAATATCATCAAAAATGAAACTTATTGTCATTGTTTTGTTATCTGTTCTAAACCAAGAATATACAATATGTTTTTTTTTAACAAGCTGTAATTTTTTTCCTGATAAACAATATGTTTTTGTTTTATTTATAATTAGAAACGTGAACGTAATATTTTTGGTTCATGTTATCTATAAATTGAAGGTAGATTTAGAGGTTCTCCATCAATGTATTAAAATGAAGAGGATTATTTTGCTAATTTCAGTTGTTGTAGCATTTTGTTCTATATGGACTAGTGCTACAACCACTCCTAATCAAGTGTTGCAAGTGGTACGTGACACTAATGGTGAAATTCTCAGATCAGACTCTAGGTACTTTGTGGTCACGCCACCAGTATTAGGAGGAGGAGGCGGCGGAGTAACCAGAGGACCCATATTAGAGGCTCAAGATGCTAACTTCGTCTGTCCATTTCAGGTTTTGTTAAATTACATTGTTCGATCATCTAGTTTAAAAGATTATGTATATTTTTATATTATATGATATACGTTTCTTTTTATATTACTATAAGGTAATGATTAATGTTCAAGACATATATAAAAAGACTGTTTTAAAATTGCCAAATGTAAGATCTAACACATTTATACGTCTAAATCAGAACTAAACATCTGAACATGAACAATTAATATAACATGGGTTCAATATCAAGTAAACCAAGCCTAGACTCCAAATAAATCTCAAATATCATAATAAGAAATAATTAATTAATTAGATCACGATCGATCTTAGTCCAATGAAAAGCTCTTTAATCCATGAAGTAAAAATTGTCAAAATCACATAAGGAGAACTATTTTTCATTCAAATTGTGATATTAACAATAGTGAATATGATCTAGACATAACGCTTGATATTTTAATTTGTACTATATGTGTATCTAATCAAATATCTCCACATAAATATAAGATACCTTGATTATATAATATCTCAACAAATCGATCTAATTATGTTATTTTTTAATTACAAGGTGATGCAAACCGCGCTAAATTCGGACCAAGGCAGGGCAGTATTTTTCAAACCAAGGGCACCAAATCAAATAGAAATCACTGAATCAAGTGATGTTAACATTAAGTTCTATCTTGACAATCCAACTGGGATGTGTAACAACACAGTGTGGGAAGTAGAAGGTAATATCCCAGGAACTGTATTGAAACCAGCTTTCTTGTCAACTAATGGTGGAGAGACAGGAAATCCTTCGAAAATGAACACTTGGTTTCAGATTAAGAAATTAAATGACAACGATGAAGAGGTTAATCCTATGTATATTTTGGTGTTTTGTCCTAATAATTATGAAGACACATGCAGTGAAATCACCATTCATTATGTCTACAAACAAAGGCGTTTAGTTCTCAAAATTGGCGATAGCTTTCCAGTTGTGTTCGTTAAGGATAATAACTATGGAATTGTTTGATCCGAAGAAAATATATGAATAACGTAGGTAATGTACCTGTTTGTTTGTTCTCTAAATAATTGTAGCGTGTATATAAATAAACACACCCATGTATAAGACAATTTATTTAATATAAAGTATTGGTACACAAAAAAGTTAATATATATTAATTGCTGATCAAATAAAAGCCGTTTATTATGTATAGTTCTAAAAAAATAAAAAAAAGTCATTTGGATGGTAAGTATCTCTCACGTTAAAAAAACGTCAAATTTGAGAGATCATCTTATCCCAAGTATACATGTACAAAAAGCTTGCGTCTCTTACTTTGTCCATTCATAATAAACATCTATATATTTTAAAATGCTCGTGACAAAATTATTCAAATATGTACAACAAGTTCAAAGATTATAGGTGGATAGATAATTGGTTTAATGTGTAAATTTTAAGGCACACATAGATTACACAGAGAAAATGTCAAACCATATATACATAATTAATTAGGACTAAACGGCTAGAAAATTGATAGTCAATTCCGTATTATAATTTTCAAAATAACATTAGAATATTCAAACCTTCGTCATTCATCAAGTTCTATAAATAGCTCTTCTTCGTTTACTTTATTATATCCATTCACAAAATTTATCGACTACAACAATGAAAGCTGTACCTTTTCTTCTAGTCGCACTATTATCAACCATATTTTTCCTCGTAAACGCTCAAGACGTTGCGGAGCCGATACTCGATGTATCCGGTAACGCTGTCCGTACAGGAGTGAATTATTACATCCTTCCAGCGGGTCGGGGCAACGGTGGTGGACTTCAAGTTGCATCCATTAAGAACCGGACCAACCCGCTGGTCGTAAGCCAAAACGTCGATGATTCTGTAATCGGCGTTAACGTTCAATTTTCACCAGTAGATCCCAAAGAAAATACTATTAGATTATCGACAGATATGAACGTAAAATTTACGTCTATGGAAATATCTGATTCTTCCACAGTATGGAGAATTAATACTGAATTAATTCCACAACGTTATTTGGTTACGATAGGCGGAGTAGAAGGAAATCCTGGTCGTGAAACTTTAGGAAATTGGTTCAATATTGACAAGTACGAGGATGCTTACAAACTTGTGTATTGTCCTGTTGTTTGTGAGACATGTAGACCGTTTTGTGGAGAAATTGGTATACTTGAGGAAAGTGGAAAAAGAGTTCTATTTGTTGGTAGAGATCCACCTCTCAAAGTTACATTTCATAAGGCCTAGAATTATTAATATTTTATGCTATGGTACTAAGTATATATAACATGTATCAATGAATAAATTTAATAAGGAAGAGTAAGTCTGTCTTGTAGTAGTGTTGATAATGTAATGGAATAATAAAGATTGTTATGACTTGTATTCGTGAAATAATTATTGTTATAGTGTGTTATATATTATACGTGCACTACAAATACATATAAAAATTAGATACGAAATCCCATTTAAGACTTGTCAAACTTATATATCATATTGTAATAGTATAAGGTGGTCTAATGTGAAAATTAAAAGATATCTTAATTTTATTTGACATAATCTTCTGTTCATTTTATTATAAATTTATTCCTATAGCTTATTCAATCTCGTTAGTTAATCAATTTATTTTCGCTCAATAGATTTTATTTGATATGATATTTTATAACGGACAAAGGACAGAAATCACATACTTTTAAGGAAAAATTATTATTTGTTCCTTATAAGTTTATAATTACAGAAAATCTAATGTACATTTTACACATGATACACTATTCTGATATGCGAGATACATTAAACTGATACGCAAAAATCAATAATTTTAAAGATTTATAAAACTAACAGAGAATAGTGATAATAAGAAAACTTAAAGGTAAGATTTCGTCATTTTTTTCCCTATATTAGTAACTATTAAGGCCTCGTCTCTTTTTTGGAGGTTTAAGAATAAAGCCGCCCGAATTTGTTAGTACATTATTTCTATTTAATACGTCAAAAATAAAATAAAGGCTTAAATTTGAGAGACGCTAAGTAATAGAATAATAATTTAACTAATTAGAAGGATCAAGGACTTAATTAGGAGATTTCACACTTTCCAGGGAAAGTACATCAAATAACCATAGATAATTACACTTGAACATAAAATCCATATCCCTATAGCCAAAATAGTTGAAATTATGATCATCGACAGAAAAGAACAAAGAATAACCAGTCCTAAAATGCCGCCGATTCAACAAAAAATTTAAAAAGAAAAACTTAGATACTAACAATGACTCTTTAAAATCCTAAACATTACATGTCTAAAACATTTAATTTGACATCGAAATAGCTCTTTGTAAATTCAAGAAAGCTTTTTCATATCGTACAAAACCCATAAACCAAAACTCAAAATCATCTTCAGTTACTATTTCTATGTACTTTTGAGATGGCTTGTTCTCGTTTACACTGGGAAGAGCTCTTTTAATTTTCGTCACTGGAATAACCACCTGCATAAATTAAATGTCCAAAATTAGAAATATTCCTAAAACAGAAAAATTAACTTTTTTCTTTTGTGCTACATACAATTGATTTTGTGTAGATTAAAATGATAAAGTAAAAATTATTTATTAATTTTACTTTAAAAAGATTCTCTGACTAAATCATGACAGCTAGACAATAACAATAGTACATGTTTAAATAATAATACTCTTAAAACTAACCAATAAAAAACAACACACAGTGAGTGATTTCGAAGGAATAATTGAAAGCCGCGTGCGACCGAATCTTCGTATTAAATATCATTTATAAATCATTATACTATGGTGTTTCCCCTTCTTTTCCTAATTTCCGCAAATAATAACAATACGATCGTTTTGAACGATAACTCGTAAATCACATAAAAAATGTCATAAAAAATGTAAATTGTATTAGTTAAGTCTCATGGCCAAGGAGGTTGGATTTGTTTCTATGTCTCCTATGGGAGACACACCGCCCAACCACTCAATCAAATAAAAATATTTTTAAATTACGTGAAATTGAACAAAAACACTTTCGATTAAGATTATAAATGTAATGTAACTAACCTTGTAAGGTGTTCTGAGAATTCCTCCAGAGGGAAAAGGAACAGAGATGGGTCTTTCACTGCAGAAAGCAATTTTATGAGTTGATATGAATAAAATCCCAGCAATTGGACCTGCTGTTGTGTACAAATAGCATTGCGATGCCTTAAGCAATATCTCTCCATCATTCACATGAAACATATGCTTGAATATATTTCTTCTCCCTCCTTCTTTCACTATCGTCAATTTCCCCTTCACCGTTTCTGAAAACTTCGAACCCAATTTCACTGAAACAAAAAAAAATCGAATTGTTTTTATTCAAAGAGTAGAAAAGGAAAATTTAATTTTTTTTAAAAAAAATAGAATAAACAAATTGAAACGGAAAGTAAATAAATTAGATGCAGTACGTACCATGCTCACGAATTCTATATGCATAACTTTTTGCCTTCTTCCCCAATTTCCTCTTCTGAATAATTACAGCTGAATCATCATGACCTGTAATTATTGCATAAATAAAAACAGTTTATAATTCTGTTACTAGATCTAAACGGTATGAATTCGGATGTTCAACAAATTTTTAAAATCATTTACGCGACTGTGACGAGCGCAATGAAATTTGAACATACTTGGAGTAATTGTGGGTGAGTAATCTGAAGAAGATGGACTATGAAGAGTGCTAGCAACAGCAGATTCAGACTCTTGAGAAAAAGAAGAATGTCTTTCTGGAGTAGTTGTTCCAAAAGAGGAACTCATGGCTAAAGAACTGCCAGAAGAATTTTGATGATCTTCCTGAAGAATGTGATGTTTATTCATATTATAATTATTGACTATTTTTTAATTTGTGTAATGTGAAAGCATTGGCGTGGGAAAGTATGAGAGGAAAGTGGATGGAACGGGGATATTTAAAGGAGTGGTCGGCGACACACTACTCGATCCAGTAGATAAGATTCTGAACTACTCCCACTGTTTACCTCAACTTGGACTAATTTTTAATACATATGCACACAAAAATTAACTCTAATATTTGGAAGATTCTTTTGCTTTACTGTTTCCACAAAACAACAAGGTGGGAGGAAGTCTTCTGGAAAGTTATCGACTACCTATTATTTCATAATATATCATATTATTATATCGTGCTATTTTATTTGGTAGATTATATTATTTTCAATAGTTTACAATTTGAAAGAAGGCAAGTTCAATTCATCATTCCAATAATCATGAGAGAAACAGATTCCACCTTAACATTATGAAAAGCCATTAGAAAAAGCTCCATTGCAAGTCAATTTGTATTCCCCCTTAGCTTTTGCAACACTATTACAACATTTCCAAAATAGGGGTGCAGTACAGTACATGCATAATAACTTAAAAGACTTTTTATTATCACAAAAAAAATCTGGCCGAAGGATATATATTAAGTTTTTTTAAATTTATAACTTTAAAACTAAATTCGACTTGAGTGATTAATAATCTTCTAGAATTTTATTGTGGACTTTTATTTGCGGTGTTTGCGTGTTTAACTAGAAAATTGTTTGTATATTTTTCAAATTATTTTCAATCATTTATTAAATGCTAGACCACTTATGTCCTTGTTATTAATTTCTTTTCTTTTCAATTTCCTTTTGATTCCTTGCGACTTTTACGAGACTTGAAATCAATATATATATATATATATATATATATATATATA